CTGGTTCCGGGCGGTAGTCTGTGAATCTGATCCCGGTTCAGTCCTTCGAACGGTCTGCGTGGTCTAAAGGACTTGTGCAACTCGTTGGGAATGTGGCAGGTGGATAGATGCACGTTGTTGTTGTATGCACTAGCTACTTTAGGCAACATCTCATCCCAGTTAATCTGATCTGGTCTAATGTACATGCGCAAAACTTGTTGTAGGATCTTGTTCATCTGTTCTGTCTGACCGTTAGTCTCTGGGTGACGGCCAGATGACATTAACAACTTAGATCCGTAAACTCTCATGAGTTATTGCCAGTTTTGGCTGGTGAAGCGACTATCTCTATTACTAACAATTGACAATGGGATTCCATTCTCACTAACCCAAAAGTCAAAAAACTTYTGTATTACTAAATCTGTACGTGCCTCTGTAGGCAAGGGAACAAAAACTGCATACTTACTAAAACGGTCGACTATGACCATGACTTGGCTCTTACCATGTCTACTCTTGACTAGGGTGTCCATCAAGTCTATGGACACTAAGTCTCCCGGCTGATCCGGAATAGGCAAGGGCCTGAGAAGACCTAAGGGCGCGCGTGTAGTAGACTTATTTCTCTGACACACTTTACAACTRCGGACATACTCTATGCAGTCATTCTTCATCCCTGGCCAGGTATACGCACGCATCAGCTTGGCTAATGTCTTTTGCCAACCGAAATGCCCTTCAGTATCGTGGCATTCCCCTAAAACCAAACTGCGGATCTCTTCGCTGTTGGGAACGCACAGGCGGTCAAATACATTAGTCTTCTCAAACAACAACCCATATGTAGTGCGGTAATCTGGTTCGGTCTCTGGAGCCTCTCTAACTCTCCTTAGGAGGTCGCTATAGATAGGGTCCTGCGCATACGCTTGCTTCACTTTCTCCTGCAGGTCTTTCCCTATATCCAGATAGTGTACTACAACTCCAAAGTAGTCTGATCTCCTACTTAGAGCATCCGTAACCATGTTATACTTGCCCTTCACTGGCTTGAGCTCAAAGTCGAATTKGTCTATCTCTGCGGCCCACCTGGTCAACTTAGGTGTCATCTTGGCCTGGGTCTTCAACCATCTAAGCGTTTCATGGTCCRAATAGACTTTGAAGTGCCTCCCAGTTAGGTAGTGCTTCCAATGGTCTAAAGCCTACCTGAGAGCGTAGAGTTCTCTCTCGTACGTGGAGGTAGCRACCTTCTCACAGGGCATCCTCGCTGATATGAACTCTACAGGTCTATAACCATTGTCGTCGTCTTGCTGCAACACGGCGCGTATCCCATACTGACTCGCGTCCATGGTGACGACAAATGGCAAAGACGGATCTVCAACTTTGAGGACAGGATATTCTATTAACACGCGCTTTAGCTTCTTGAGCGCAGACGTACAGTCTTTGTCCCATTGYCAGATTGCCTCTTTCTTCAGCAACCTGCGCAAGGGAGCGGCGATAGTAGAGAAGTTCCTTACGAACTTCCTATAGTAGTTAGCTAAGCCTAGGAACGACCGCAACTCTGTCAATGTGCGGGGCGTCGGCCAATCTCTGATCGCCGCGATCTTGCTGTCCTCTGGCTTAATGCCATCTCCGTCCAACACGTGGCCCAAGTATAAGACTTGCGTCTTGGCCCACTCGCACTTCTTCGCGTTGATCTTGAAGTTATCCTCTCTAAGCTTCTCCAAGACCTGCCTCAGATGACCCTGGTGCTCCTGGAGGGTCTTACTAAAGACTAGGATATCATCTAAGTAGACTACTACAAATTTATCTAACCATGGTCTAAACAGGTCATTCATACAATGCTGAAAAGTAGCTGGCGCGTTGGTTAGTCCAAAGGGCATCACTATGAACTCATAATGCCCGTATCTCGTCCGGAACGCAGTCTTGTACTGGTCATCAGGATGAACCTCTATCTGATGATATCCTGATTTTAAGTCTATCTTAGAAAAATACTTGCA